TAGACCGTTCATCGCATTTGATCTCGACCGTTCAATCGCGTTTAAAGAGAAAATGAATCTGGACTGTTAATCACGATTTGATCTCGACCATGCGATTGGGTTTAAAGAGATAACGAATCTGGACCGTTCATTGTATTTAATCGCGACCGTTCGATCGCGCATGAGGATGGAACGGATCCGGACCGTCAACACGCATGGGAACACTTTCGGACCGTCCGATCGTAGGGCATGCAGATTGCCAGTGTGGCCTCCTGCATGACACCGAGTCAACGTGCCTTGCCACGTGGCGCACTCCAGTTCGTCGAAATTATTGACTGTGCGGTTCTACGGACACAATTTTCTTTACTTGCGTTCTGACCATCAGATTTCGATTTTTCTTTCAAAAATCCTCTCCGAATCCAAAATTTCACATTTTTTCTCAAAATTATTTTCAATTTTATTATCAACCTATTTTTTTTCTTCATAATTTCACATTAAATTAAATTTTATTAAGCTCAAAATTAAATTTTTATACATTTTTAAAAATTTAAAATTAATTGCATACCAAATTCCGGATCCAGGTATTACAATCAACTATTTTAAAATTTTTTTCCATAAATATATTGAAATTAAGTACTCATTAAAAATATTATTTAACTACTATAATACAAGTTATTTATTTATCCAAAGTGTTTATTTTCACGTAATAAAAAGCCTTCGATTAAAAAGAAATTATTTTTTAAGTTAATATTATTCATATTATTTTATGAGTAAATATATAAAAATTAGTTTATGTTACTAAATTTAATAGAAAAATAATATTTAAATAAATACTAACAAAAACAAAAAAAAATACAAGTTCTCAAATTATTTCAGATTTATATTTTAGTCTTTGCCTAGTGAATTGGGCTTAGTTGGTCCTTTTAATTACGTTGGGTCCAAATTTGAAGTTTTGAAATTTTGGTCAGCGCCAAATATGATCATGGGCTTATAGGAAAAGTTGTGGGTTTTTTAGAAAATAAAAAATAAATGTTTTTTTTTTTACATTTATTTTCAACTTAAAATTTTATATGTTATTTAATTTTATAATAAATTATTAAATTAGTTTATAAAATTTAATACATGTTACAGTTTAGTTTTTAATCTTTTTTATTTATTACAATTTAGTTTTCGATAGTTTACGAATGTTTAAAAAAGTTAAATTTCCACTCATTTTATAAAGAAAAAATTAGAATATTTAATCAATACTTGGAAGTTTATTTTTAAAAAATTTTATTTTAAAATCTAAAACCACAAATTTCTCAAATAATAACTCTTTTTTTTTTTTTTTTTTTTTTTCGTAAACATGATTAACGCCCCCAATTTAACTCAATAGCGTTAACATACCCTGTATATCTAATTTTTTTTTTTTTAAAAAAACA